GATAATCACATCCTTACCTTCATAATTGATATATAAGTGATTTTAATAGTTCTGTGTTGATATTGGTAAGGAGACTTTTTTTATCATATATGTGGATGCATAAATAAACTTTCCTGGAATATGTTGACAAAAAGCAGAATGCAGTTTTACCTCTTGCATTAATACCATCATTTTTGTTTTACATAGCATTTAAGGTCGCTAGTCCTTCGTCAAACTAAAACAATGTTCTGTTAATTGAAAAAACCGTTGTGCCTGGTGCTGATTGTTTTCTTGAGGGACTAGGCCTTTTATTTATGATAAGCACCGCTGCAAAAGTTAAATTCTGTTTTTCTGTTATGCCTAATTCTTATTAATTTTGGGGCTCTTTTTGCTTCTCAAACAACAGTACTGACTGCATTGAACTTGAAGCAGAAGAGCAATGTAGCTATTGTTCAGCACTGGTTCCTTTTGATTCCTCAGAATTTGCCTTTTGCTAGGGTTTGGAGAGCAATGGTGGATTTAGGCAGAAACATGAGTTAGCAAGTTGTGCTGTTTCTATGCAGGTTTGCCCTACTACTCCTTTATGGCTTTGCAAGTGTTGTCAAAGATGTACTGCCAATCTTGCACCGGAGTTCTGTCCCTTTTGCGGGATATTGCTACAGAGATCACAGCCAGAATTTCTTCTCTCTGTACTGCCAGTGTAATCTTCACCCCAGGTACAGTATGTATATTCTTGTCAACAAAGTTTTTAATTATTTACTATTATACATCATTCACTTGTATAGACTATTTTTTTAATTCTTAATCTATTCTGGAACTCTTTACCCTTATACTTATCTGGTTTAAGAGGGCATTATGCACATAAGTTATTTCAAACCCACAATTTTCATACATCAATTTTAATGTCATGCCAAGTGATCCAAAAGTCAATCAGCCTAGTTTCTTAGTCATTTTACTTTGAATGGATGGAAGGAACTTAGGAAGGATCTCATAAGTGATAGAAAGTTGTGAGTTTTTTCTCTAACTTCTAATTTAATGAGGGCTGCTGTTAAATTCTTATGAGTATCCAATATGAAGACAGTGTGTAAATCAAAACAATTTGCACAACTCTGGTTATATCACCAATTTAGCCTGGATTGGTTAATACAGAACAGAAACGTCCCCACAGCCCATTCGAGTGAAGCTGTTCCGTCGGAATCGGTTAACTACCCCACCAAAATTTAATGGCTATAGAGTGTGGACACAGCCTAACAAACAAACAAAGCATATCATCTACTCGTCATCGCAAAGTTTGTGTAAAACATAGCTTTCAACTCCTTGTCCTAAACCCAAAAGAAACTGTGTAAACTGTTAGAAAGAAATTGGATTTTTGTTTTGAGTCTCAAATTGTTTTTTAATATTTGACGTTATAAAATTTGAAACTAAAAATTTAGAACTTTTTCAACAAATTACGTGATTGATGGCTAATTATCAAAATCATGAGGAAAATAAGAAATAATTGGCTTTGGAATTTGGAGGAAGATCGACATTTTGGTGTATATTGAACCCCCTCGCCGTGCTTAAGGGTCAATAGAATTCCATTCAACATTCATCAGTAATCCAAGCTGAATTTCAACATTCAAATGAGACATGCTTATCTTGGCTTTTGAATGGAAACGTTATGTACTTCTGATGTTTACCTTGATTTTGAACCGAAGCAATATGATTGACTTGTAATATATTTTTGTCTGGTGTTAATAAACATCTGAACAGGAAAAGAACTTTTTCATAATTTTTTTAATGCAAAAGAAATTACAATTTAAAAATTAAAAAAATTATAAAATGTTAAAAAAAATTTTATATAAATAGATTGAATTAAATTTAAAATTTAAAAAAAAAATTTATAATCTGTAAACAATTATTTACTTTTTAATTACGTTCAAGTGAGACGTTTATAGAAAGAACAAGTTTTTTTTACCGATGATTATGACATTTATATGACCACACAAAGCATGACGAACAATTGTTGCATTGTTGTTGAGATCTAATCTCAATCTCTATGGTATCCCATATTTTATTAGCATTAAGTTTAATTTTTTATATAAAAAATCATAATTTAAAAATTAAAAAATTTAATAAAATATAATAATTAAATATATTAAATATCACTTTTTAATAATAATATATAAATCAGTTAAATTATATCTCGAATTCATTAAATTTAAAATTTCCTCCTCCTTACTCCAATTATATATATTTATAATACAATTAGGAGTATTTTAAAATTTCCTCAATTTTTTTTTTTTTGAATTTTTTACCAACGATTTTAGAAAAAAATGGTATGACGCATCGTTGCTGATGCTGCTGCTGGTTCTTATTATTATTATTATTTTTTTTATCAGGCCTGTCTGATTCCTTCTTCGGATGTCTTTCTATGCCATAGTTGAGAAATGAGCCAGGGTTTCGGACTTTTGGACGATATTTCATATTGTTTGAGAACTATATTGCAAAATCCTGACATTAACATTTTTGTGGCTAACAGATCGCTGCATTTTTTTTTCTTTTTCAGATAAATTTCAAAACCCGAAAAAAAAAAAAAGAAAAGCTGTGCCTCGTCTCCATCTTTTGTTCATTCTAGGCAAAAATGTATTGAAATCATTAATACAGTGCATGCATTTTGCAGGCTGTCATTATTGATCAAATCAGATTTTTCATTAATCATCTTTCAGTAGGAATTATTAACCTTGTTTAACTCTAATTTATTTCCTCTTTGAGATAAGGATACATTTTATTAAAAAAAAAAAAAACAAACGAGGAATCAAATTTCAACAAACAAAATGCATTAAAATATAATATAAATATATAAATTAATAATATTTTACACGATAAAAATATATAAATTATTAAATTTATTTTAAACTCACCTTTCTTTTTTAATCCTAAAACCTAATTAGAAATTTAAAAATAATTTTAGTTACCTATGACATAATTCTAATGTACATTTTCTACATTTTCTTTATTTCACACAAAAATAAAAACATTGCTTTTGTAAATTTCGAGTTGTATCTTTTATTTTCTTATCTTATTTTTTAAATAAAATTTTTAATAAATTAAATTTAATTCAATAATAATTAAATTAATTTTTAATTTTATTTAAATTAAATTCAAATAATTTACAAATATTAATCAATAATTTACACTTCTAATCTTTATCGAACCATATAGACACGTGGGCATCCAATTTAAGCGAGCTATTGTCATTTTAGAACGTCACCTCGAGTGGGCCCTACAGGTATGAGTGGTCGTGTAACATGATGGTGCCCTTATCAAGAAAAAAGAAACAAACAAATTGATGTCTGTCACCGCAGTGGCTAATAGGGCTACTGCAACCCTATCGATGCAGAACCAGATGCTTGTGAACACGTGTCACCATCAAAATTATATCTACCACACTTCAGAGAATAAATGCGTCCGCATCTGATCATTTTCCAGTCATCATCACCATGATCGATTTTTTGCTTGTTAGCCATGATTTTGAAAATGCTTTGCTTTAATTTTAAGTTTGTGGGGCAGATCAGGTCAAACTATCTTATCCTAATTCCCTATAACTCCTAAACCTTTGCTTTAAATCAACTTTTCAAAATAAAATTTTATCGCAACTTACTACATTAGCATTTTTATGTAAATAATTTGTTATTAATTTTTTAAATATATATTTTTTGATAAAAAAATTTTAAGTGAGATGAGAAAAGATTATATCATTTTTGGATTAAAATATTTTGCATATTTAAAAATAATTTATACTTAATTTATAAATCATTTATCAAATATATTATTAATAATGAAAAACGAATTTAAACTTTATAAATGAAGTGTTTAATTTTTATACACTTATTTAATTAACTTTAATGATATTTTTTAAATATAATTTAAACACACAAGTACGAGAAATTAAAAGCATTTTAATGATGATAAGTTTCGATCTACCACTTTTAATATGATTAAGAAAACTAAACATGCAATGCATATTAATAGAAACATATCGTATATGTAATTTCTCTTGTTCTATTCCAAATGAGTATAATAATGTATTTACATTTTCATGCATGAAATTTAAATAATTTATATAATATGCACATAAAAAAGAATTACTAGTATTTTGTAGTGCCGTAATCATACATATTTTTATTTTCTATTTGTTATAATTGGGTTGAATGATTATTGTTGTGTGACAAATAATAGATAAATTGTAATTAAAAATTTGATTTTGAAATAAAAATAATAGATTAGCACTAAAAGTGTTGTCAAATTAAATTGATACTTCAAATACCAAGTTTTGGACTGTTCAATTAGACATGTATATATTAAAATAAAATTTTAAAATTAAAATTAAATAAAATTTTTATTAACAAGTTAATATGGATCACGATTAAACTTGAAAAATCATACCCAAGACTTGACCCTGAATATATCTAATTAATAATAATACAAAGTTAATGATGACATATTATCATAATCATGATGTTAAATATTATTTTTTTTTAAATATAAAGTAAATACCAAATTTTCAATTAACAATCTAGTTTTATTTTTCCTCTCCTCGTTTGACAATTCAATGCTTTCGAGGAGTGCGAAGAGAATAAATCAAATTGATTTTTATTTTTAAGGTGAGAATATAATATAGCATGTGATTATATGATTAAAATTTTGATTACTTTAATAAAAAAATATTTTAATTAATTTATCTAACATTTAATAGATTTAAATTAAATCTTTGACTGAGATTTTTTAAACCTGTTTCTTCGTTTACGTTTGACTGAGATTTTTTTTTTATAAAAAATTTTGATTACTTGCCGAGATGATGATGCGGATGGAGTGGGATTGACACATGACACCTGCATGAATATACATGGAATGATGATATGGATGGAGTGGGATTGACACATGGCACATGTATGAATATACATAGATGGGTATTCATGGAAATACGGAAAAAAAAAAAAGGAAGGAAATTAGAATTTTGGAAGATAAATACTAATTTGATAATGGGCCTGTAAAAAAAATTTAAATTCTGGAACGCTGTGAAGAAGGTCCAAAAAGGCAGTGAGCAGCACAAACGGACGATCCAAAGAACGCAACAACCAAACCAATTTACCTCTTTTTCTCTCTTTCATCGCCTTTCTCTCTCCAAACCTCTCTTTATCCATCTACAGGATCATCACCGCTACCAATATGTTATAGAGTGGAGCCAAAACAAAAGTTGTCCTCTGTTTTACTCGTTTCCTCCATCAATTTGCAGAGTCTTTTTTTTTTTTAATTCTCAGTACATTAAGTGACGATCTTTGAGGTGGTTTTGGCTTTTACACCGATGGAAACCATTTAGATAAAGCAGGTACGTTGCTCTTCTAACCGCTACAACAACAAGAAGTATAGCTTTTTTTTTTTCTGGGTGTTTGTTTTTCGGATCATTTAATGAGTCAGGATTATAAAGATGGGATTTTGTTTGTTTGTTTACAGAGGAATCCGAAAGGGACATTTTTTTTTTTTTGAAAACCGTTGTTTCCATTTGATCATGGCAGTCGCTGAGAATGCTGGGGCAAAAATCGGGTCATCAGGTCAAAATTTTGAAAACACTGTAGTGTCGTCTGACTCCAATGTGGTGATCGATCCTGATAAATCAAAAACCAGGACTGATTCTGTGACTGCTGCTAAGACTACTAAGGAAGCCAACCTTCAACAAGAAAAACCAGTGGTAGCCATCGACAGCAATGGCAATAGTAACAGTCAGATGCAAAATAGGTTTAATGAAAGGAATCCGCCGCAGATGGTGACAAAGACTGATGGGCTTAATGGGTTTTGCAATATGGAAAATCGGGTTAATGGTGAAATTTTCAAGAATGAAATGAGTGATTTGGTTGAGATTTTGTCTAAGCTTAACCCTATGGCTGAGGAATTTGTACCTCCTTCCCTTGCTAAGTATCATTATCGTAATCTTAATGAGAACCATGATCAAAACCAAAATCAAGATAATCGCTTTTCGGAGAATGGGTTTGGATATAGTACTGACAATTTTGTAGTGCACGCTAATTCCGGCAACGGCAATAGAAGGGTATTTTACTTTCTTTTTCCTTTGGCAAATTTCTTTTAATTCTATAACAATTTTATATTGGTTGTTTTTGTTGATTTTCTCTTTTCCTTTTTACTCAGAAGAGGAATAACTTTAGCCAAGGGAAGAGAAGGTTGAATAATAGAACGAGCATTGCACAGCGAGAGGATGCAATTAGGAAGACCGTTTATGTATCTGATATTGATCTACAGGTGAATAACTGCACACTTACGGTTTTTGCTTCGGTTTAACTATTTTTGTGCACTGATATTTGGATATCTTACTGATTGATTATGCTTATTGGATAGGTTACTGAGGAGCTTCTTGCGGGTCTCTTTCTGAGTTGTGGACCGGTACTTCTTGTTTCTTCTCCTATTTAATGCAAAATTTTCAGTTTATCCAACGTGGTAGTGGTGGATTATTCTCCTAAGATAACTTGCTGTTATTTTGGTCAAAAGGTTGTTGATTGTCGTATATGTGGTGATCCTAATTCTGTTCTCCGCTTTGCCTTTGTCGAGTTTTATAAAGAAGGTATTATGGAAGTCTTATGCATTTGGTAAGCATTGATATCTGCCATCGTTGTACAGCATTAACAATTCAATGTTTTTGTAGAGGATGCGAAGGCTGCTTTGAATTTGTCTGGAACCATACTTGGTTTTTACCCTGTAAGAGTGTTGCCTTCCAAGACGGCAATTGCTCCTGTTAACCCGACTTTTTTACCCAGGGTAAAGCATATATATGATGAATGAACTTTATTTAAAGTTATTTTGTAAGTTATCATGTTGATATCTGTTTTCATTTTTAATTAATTGGCTTCAAATGTTTTATGTTCTTCAGTCTGAGGATGAGCGGGAGATGTGCACAAGGACCATTTACTGTACTAACATAGACAAGAAGGTAGATTCTCATGTCCACTATTTTTCTTGAATGTCAGTGTGATCAACAACTAGAGCAATAATTCCTAGCTTGTTTGTTCAATTGATACAGATTACTCAAGCTGATGTCAAGCTCTTCTTTGAATCAGTTTGTGGGGAGGTTTGTAGCTTCTCATGTGACCAATCTTATAAATACTGCTTTTCTTATACCTTTTAAATTTGACGAGTTCTTACTGAACATTTTTGCTTTATGGTAGGTTCAACGCTTGAGGCTATTGGGAGACTATCATCATTCAACTCGTATTGCTTTTGTTGAGTTCACAATGGTATTTGCTCTCTTGCTAACTTTATTTACTGAAACTGTTGCAACATCTGGTTTTATGGTACCATATTAGATTACTAGTGTTGTTATTTCTCAAATTGAGAACATTCTGTACTATGTAGGTGCCTATACCTCAAAGCTTATCTATTCTAAGATGAAAAATGACGTGGCCTGTTCCCTTGCAACATTATCTAGCTAATTCTTTACATGAATAGTTTACTATCACGCTTTCTTTGGTATTCCAAGCATTAGTGTCTTTTTAATCTTTTGGATGAAGTAAAATGACATTGGTGCTAAAACCTCTTCAGAAGAGCTCATTTGGTTTCTCATTCAGTTTTGGCATCATGCCTCCTTTTTTATTGCTGCTTGGTTATGTTATTTGAAATGGGTTTTGGAATGTGAACTATATAGGAAATACATTGTCAAATTGGGCTGTGGAAGCTGATTTAGGAGAATCAAGATGTGGGAATTGAACAGTTCTGTAATAGTAGTCCAGATCTTCCCATTGGTTACTTCTCTTCCTGCTACTGTCTAAGATGGATGGATGGGGAAGATACTGAAATGTCCTTTTTGAAGGCTATAGTTTCCCACTGCAAGGAGCCTGGGGGAATTGAGATTTTTAATGTGTTGCACAATGAATGTTTTCTGCAAATAGCAGATTTAGAAATGTCTAGCTTTCCTTCGGTTATCCTGACTCCTGAGTTCTATCTCAACCAGGGGATAGTCATGTGTGCCTGGGGCGCACTTAAATCTCAATAACTATATGCACTGTTGTTGGAAGATAGTTTGTGACAAAAAGCCTAGTCAGAATATGCCATCAGGACATTGTACTTTTTTTGTTTTGCAATATAGAGCATCTCTCCATGCAACCATTTCTCTTTTATGCTGGCAGCCAGACTGGCTGATTATCCATTTGCTTGAGAGCAGTATCAGTTTTAACTTGTCTAGTTTTTTATCCAGTACCACAGCCATTTATTGCAACATAGCCATGTCTTTGGTGTGCTTTTGTTTACCTGAGGAAGTGCACTGTACTTGCACAGGATGAATCATTTTTTCTGTTGCCGCCAATTCTGAGGACGAGTTAATGCACTTTCCTTCTTTTTGTCTTTTGACTATTTCTTATGCTTTCCTAACAGTCTAGAACTTGTGTTTCTGTAGTTAAGCAACTTTTGTTTTATCTACTAGGTGTTTTCTGAGTGTTGTTTCTGGCATGCCGCATGTTTAAAGGGGCATAGTTGAACTGGGATCTAAGCTGCTACGCTATCCTATTACCCCTCCCCATCCACCCCATTAATAACCAAAACTTGGCATCATTGGCCCTGTAGCTGTTTAGCTGGAATCATTTCTGCAAGTATTTCTCACGGAATGGAACTACCAAAATGTGTTTATATGGAGTTATGCTTGTAAAATTTTCCATGTGATTGCCTTTGAAGTACTATGCTGCAACTTGCTTGCTGGAGTTTCTCATAATTTTTGCTTTATTTGTAAACTAGAAATGTGCTTGGATGCTGTGTGCAAGGATGATCCTTATGTTTATTCACACTCTTGCAGGCTGAAAGTGCGATTGCAGCCCTTAACTGCAGTGGTGCCATTTTGGGATCACTGCCCTTAAGGTTGGTTCGTGGACTTTTCTGTTTGAGCTGATATCTTGCATTTTTTTGGGTTGTAAAATTCAAATTTCTTCCCTAATTTTATTGGATTATTTGCCTGTTGTACATGCAGGGTAAGCCCATCAAAGACACCTGTTCGCCCCCGTGCCCTTCGCCCTGCAATGCACTAAAACATCCTTGCTTGTTTTTTTCTCCTGGACTTATCAACTGCCAATATATATGTTTACTCTTACGTAGATAGATACAGCAGTACATTCAAGGTACTTTTGGCGTTAATATTATCATCTTGTCCCTGCATCTTAGTTGGTATCTTTGTTTGTTATAGGGTGTTAATTGTGGTTAGTTTCTTCAGCTTGTAGAGTTGAATGGGATTTTGAGGACATGAATGGTAATTTACGTTGCACATCTCTAGGCGTGATCCCAAAGACAGATTGTTCGTGCATATCATCTAACAACTGATAATTTAAAAAAAACAATCTCTACTGTTCTTTATGATTTGTTTTCTGCTGATTGCATGGTTGCAATTTCAGATGCCTTAATCGTTATGGAATACACTGTCCAAAAAAAAAATCGTTATGGAATGCTAGATTATCGACAAGTTCAGTCTTTTGGTTTGAATTTCTAATAGAAGAGTTGCAACTTCAAAGTCAAATCCATGTCTCTTTTGATAGTCGAGTTGGCTTCTTATTGAAATAAGTTGTACATACATATTTTTAACCCTGTTTATTTTTCTCATGTTGGTAAAAAATGGTGATTCCCTTAAAAGGATATGGCAGTTTGACTTGATCATATCGTTAAAATGGGATTCTTTCGAAGGATACGGAAAATAATTAATATTTGATATAGCAAGGTAGCAAATACATAAGGTCATGTTGAGTTCATGAATTTACGGGCCGCTTGATAATTGAACATTACGTAAAATTCTCAAAATGAACTTTGGGTAGAGTTGAATTCCTTTGGTCTGAAAGGCACTTTATGTCAGAGCAATGGTTGTAAGTTTTTCATTGGATACATCTGTTTGCGCATGAAATTGAACTGCTGAGACTGATTGGTAGACCATTATTTGTTTGTTTAACAAGTGCCATATTAATTTCAACTACAAAATATAAGTTAGGCAATATTAGCATTTTATGCTTTGAGCTTTAGGAACCTAGCAATTGAGCAGCCACAAACGTATTTGAAATGTTGGCATTTACCTTTAGCTGGTGGAGTGTGGACCAATCATCCTCTTCCCCTTGCGGGATTCGCTGTCAAAGTGTATGCAGCATTTGAAGAATTAGAAGCAAATTAGTTATACATGAACAATCATGTGCGTGAATTAGGAACAAGGAACCCAGAAACTCGATGGTTATTTAATTTGTTTGGGCATTTTCTTGGATTCCCGACGTGTACTTCATGAATTCCGGAAGTTGAATATGCAGAGCGTGTACAATGGCAGGGAGACAGACACTGACTCCATAATAAACTGCAAAATGAAGGAAATCTATGATGAACTGACAAGCCAAGCAAGACCCAAGTTGTCTCCTCTTTCATGATTCAGAGTTTCAGACCAAATATTTCCTTTTAGATAAGAACAATCAGAATCTTATGAATTCATAATCGATAATGCGAACATATATTCTTTGCTATAAGAAACACTGTAGGATTATTTGAGACATGTATTTAAGAAAAAGAGTATCCGCAAAATGGGTAAAAAGTGTGTAAAGTGTAAACTGAAATATCCAAAAAAAAAAAAAAGTGTGAATTGTGTTCTGTCGAAAAGAATATTATCCATAATAGCAAAGCTAAAAATGGCTAAAAGTGAAAAACGTATTCTGTCATTTACTCTTGAATGTTTCTCTAGTCTTTGCCATTGAGGCGTGATTTTTGTGAAAAAAAGAAAATGTAAAACCCCGTCCCTTTGTTTTCAGCTTGTAGAGAGTATCATTTCCACTGTTTCTACTGATTCTAATCACTGGCATTACACTGATGAATTTTGTGCAGAGGCAGTTCCTGGTATGCCGGAAACTTCTGATGTGGCTGGTCCAGCTGCATTGTAAAGGTAGCTTGTTACAATAAGATCTAGCTATTTCCCCTTCCCTACCACCCACCAAGTAAAGTAGTGCAAATAAAAGAACATTAAATTTTTAGATAACTCAACCGGTGGCAGCAAGCGATGATGGAGAGGCTACTGGAGGAAGTGTCAAGGTCCCAAATGCACGGTATTGCCCAGACGAGTAAGGGTACTGGGTGATTTTCGGATACTGACTTGGGCTGCTCTGTCCATGTTGGGGATAGAGTGGGAAGTAACTTAAGTAGGCTCCAGGTGATCCGGATGTCCCAGTGGTGTAATGGGATGGGAACTGCTGCCCTCCATAGGCATTGTAATAGTTCTGCAAAAAAACAACTTATTTCAAGTCCAAATATCCTACTATTGTTTAACTCATTTGTAATAAACAACATCAAGGACCTGATACTAGACATTGCAATAACCATGTAGGCAAAAAAGTATCAGGTATAAGTTGAATACCACAAATTCTGAATTGGAAATTGCTTTGACTCGTCTACAGTGTAATTTAGAATAACCATAATTTTAGATAGAAGAAGTGACTAACCATTGAATAAATGTCTTGTGTGTAACCAGGATACCTGAATGTTAAAAGGCAAGCATTAAACTACAAACTGAAATAAGAATTTCAGCAAATCATTTCAATTTTCAAACACTATTAAGCTATGCAGATATTCTGAATGATCTGATCTACCCATAAGCTGAATAAGGAAATGCATATTGCGGGATGAGTTGACGGTAAAATGCCGGAGTACCGGTACTGGATGGTGCCATGACTCGAGGTGGCGGGCTAAATTTCTCCATCCCTGTAATTAACTCTGTTAGCAAAGAAGGAGAAGAAGAGGAGCTTTATACAAAGTGAAACAATCATCCGCAATATCAACTACTATATTTATGTATGGTTGGATGGTTAATTGAGGGGTTGAATACTGAAGAGTTTCACTACCATGCTGAGAGGCAGAAGTTGGACGATTCTTTTGAGCACCAAAAAATGCAAGATTACAGTTTGCTCTTCTTCCATCAATCACAGGAAATGGATCATAGCAAGCCCTCATCGCCGAATCCGCATCCTTAAATGTTACCTTGAATACCATAATGAAAACGAAGTTAAAAAAAAAAAAAACAACAACAAAAAAGATAGATAAAGAGGCGAAAGATGGAGGGGATACGTGTGCTTACAAAGCCATAACCTTTTGATCTTCCTGTACTTCTATCATTGATAACCACAGCTTCTAGTATCTCTCCGAACTGCTCGAAATAACGCCTTAGGGTATCTCTTTTAGTCTCCCAAGCCAAACCTCCGACAAAGATCTTGGTGTAAGTCGTGTCGCCAAACCCTGTGGCATTGGTTTCACCCGTCATCTTATTTGGCCCTGATTGAGACATGGAATAACAGTCCAAACAAGCACAGCCAACGCCAGAGAGATTTAAAAAAGAAAGAACCCAGGTGAGAATCAACACCTAAAAGCCAAAATACACTGGAAAAAGGTGAGACAAAGCGATGAAGAGCCGTTGGCTGACAGATATAATTATGGACTGAAAGCAATCACATCAATCCTCTACAATAACTCCAATCAATATAACTTTTCTTCTCTCTTCTTTCTTTTTCTATCAAAACCTTATTAGAATTCCACAGCCAACTCACCTTAGATTCCCCAGCAAAGATACCCTAAACGAGAAAGTTATCACTGTTAGAGGTTTGAAAAAATTGAATTAAAAAAAAAAAAACTACAAATAACAGACTCCATGGGTGGACTAGAGAAACAAAATAGGAAAAACCCTTATTGAAGATTTTATTCAGCATGTATCGATCATAATTAACTAAACAAGAAATGGAACATAACAATAAAAAAGGTGCAAGTGGGAAAAAAAAACAGTAGAAAGGGGAAATTTCCAATGAAATTCAATGAACTTTATTTCCATATTTTTCATCTTTTATTTGACATATCAATACTTGCCATACTTTTTAATGGGTCCAAAGATACCTTTTTTTTTTTCGATACAAATCAAAAAATGGATCCAAAGATACGTGCCTTGCTGTATCCAACTCTCCATCTTTTCTTCTTTTCTCATGATCTAGTGTAAGTTGTCAATGCTTAATAATACTCCTTTTCCATATTATTAAATTATTTATCTAATGGCTAATTCATACTAGGTATTCCTGTGGAATACGTATATATATGTAGCATTTGGTATTATATTTAAGATTATTATAATAATTTAATTATAATGATGATAAAATCATTAAAGTGATTTAATCGTAGATGATCTTAAATTATCATATTTGATATATATTATAAATCATTAATATTTTTAAATTAATGTGTTTAATATTATATAAAAAATAAATTATTTAATATAAAATATCTAAAATAATTTTATAAAAAATATTTAATACTTATTGAATTAATAATTTATAAACTAATTAAACATAATTTTATACAAAACTATGAAATATAAATTAATTTTAATAAAAATAATTTCTAAAATAATTATTAAATAAATTAATTACTTTTTTAATTAATAGAAATTTATAATACAAAACTTTTTAAAAATATGTGGTTAAAAAACCAACTTTTAAAAAATTTTAATTTCCAGCTTCCAAGTCGTGTTGACTATATTTTTTATAAAAATAAATTAATCAAAAAATAATATTAAAAATTATTTTTTCATAATAAATTTTTCTCATGATAACAAAATTTTTCATCTTTTATATCAAAAATCAGATCACTCATTAAGATAATAATTTTATCATTTCAATAATTTAAAATCACTATCACATAAAATTTTTAAATTACTATTAAACAAGATAATATAATTATTAAATATAAATCATCATAATTTTTAAACAAATAACCTCATACCAAATACTCTCATAATATTTTGGGGGCCATTAGAAAGCATATTCATTGACCCTCACCTTTTCTACCATTTCAAAAGCAACTCACTCGGCAAGTCTTCTTCTTTTGGATATAATAAATACTAAATAAATTTTTTATGTGAAATTTAAAATTTAAATCAGTTGATTTTTAAAATCATGATATTTAATAAACTTAAATTTTAATTCTTATAATTTATATTTTATTTTTAAATTACAAAATCTTTTATATTGAAAAAAAAAAATGCTTCCAATTTGTTTTGTTATATGAGAGAAACCGTTATTTTTCTAGTGTGCGAATTTTCTTTGTGATCGTTAAGAGTATAAAGAATTATATATCGACCTTCCTCTCCAATAATTAGAAGAAAACCAAAAGAAAAGGAAGAGGTACGGATCTGGTTATTCATGAAAACATGAGAATCAAGTTGAATGCATATTAAATCATTGGAACTTTACATGTAATAAAAAAAAATTGAAAATAAAACCAATTCTGCATTGGGTAGTTTTCATTCCCAAATAGAAACATAAGAAATAGCTGCTATACTATTTTTATGGATAGAAACTAAGTTAAGTTGCTGATTTCGATTCTCATAAACTTTGGGTTTATAAGAACAAAAGCAAAACTAAAAGTCAAAATCCATAAAGATTATCCAATCGATAGAGATAAAACTCCTCATTTTTTGTCGGTCAAGATTCGTGAATTTGCTAAACACAGTGAATTTGCTATTCAGTTCATAGCCTTACTTGCCCAAATAGGCTAAAAGCCCAAACAAACCTCAATGTTTTAAGAATCCAGGAAAGAAAAAAATAGTGACCCAAAGTTAGCTGAACTACGACCAATGCGATCCCAGTCCAGTTCACAGGTTCCATGCTAGAGCCTATTAATGTTTTACTGTACTTTCTCTTCATAAACATGGGATCTGACTCCAATTAAATATATCAATTTTATTCATATGTAACAAAAAATATAATTTTTTATCTAAATAAGAATGAAAATAAATATTATATTATAAAAATAGAAATAGATATGATTTCAAATTTTTATTAAATGCAGGGATAGCTATGGGTAATATAATCCGATACCCAAATCCTATATATATATATATATATATATATATTATATTTTATATATATTTAATAGATAGATTTTTTATTAAATAATATAAATTATGTTAGATTAATTAGAATTAATATATTTCATTAAAAAATATATTAATATATATTTATAAAAAATTACTTAAATATACACGGTAAAATAAAAAAATTAAAAAAAATAATTTTATTTTTATTTTTTTAAATATTATAAGTATAAGATTATCCATATCTATTGAATACCTACAGAGATGTGGATGATGATAGATTTAAAATACCCATTATATATAAGTACAAAGATAGATATAATATAAAAATTCAAGGACAAGGATGGAGAATGCTTTACCCTCTCCATATCCTACTCACTGATGTCTTTAATCCCAACTTCGTTGCTCATCATACCAGTCAAAACGACAATTTAATGTAGTTTTTATTGGATTGGCTTAATTAAGCTACAAATTCATTATTAAGGGTATGAGAAAGTTTAGTAAATAATTTAATTTTTAATTTTTAATTATTTATATTTATTTATTTTATTTTATAAATAATTATTAATTAAAGATAAGATAATATATTCATATATATATATATATATATATATATATGAGAATAGATTTCATTCATATTCAACTCATTTATACCATAAAAAAATTATATTGCCCTAGCCATAGTAGGAGGTTTGCAATTTCCCTACAAATTCATGACTTTAAAAAAGTCTTTAACAACCCACTTGGAACAAGCTCATCGGGGGGTGCTGAAGGCGGCTCCAAAAGGACAAGAAGGAAAAGGCTTGTACAAAGTAAAAGATAAATCCATTGAACTCACCAAGTATTATTATTATTGTTATTATTATAAATCATGATTAAATTAGCTTAGTGGAAAGATAAACCAGAGCGAGATGGATGGCTTTAGATGCACCAATAGGCTTCTCCAATTGTGAACATATAGTTTTGTTTTTGTTTACTTTTAAATTACTTACCTTCGTTGGTTGAGCTAATGCTCTTCTCCTGATTCCTTTCTCCTCCAATGAAGTTGTTGCATATAAAATGACATTCTCCTAGTGGAAGACCCAACATTACCTACGAATACCTAAAGCAATAAGATTTTGACCCTTTAGTTTATTACAATTGCATATTATGAAGATAAATGACATCTGATGTAGCCCCACAAAAGGATCCAAGACTTTCTCACGACCCCAAATAATCTAAACCATTCGATGCCCTCAGAGCATTGGAAAAAATTTCCCTTCTTATTATATCGGAGCTGTCCTTGAATATGATTTTGGTGCCTATAAATGATCACACGGAATAAAATAGTCGTGCCAAATGCTTTTCCATTGAAATTAATAATCCCCCACTCTAATCGACTGTTGTACAACTAGTCTGTTACTGATCTCGTATGTACTTGTGTTTCATTGACATCACCGAACCCTAAGGATGATGAAATAATGCAATGTACAGATTTGTTTTAAAGAAGAAAGAGAAGGGGACAATATAGAATAAATTGGTGGTCGACCGTTTACAACATAGATATTTTATAGACCACTATGGAGGTGCATAAATATCAAGAACCAATATCTTTGCCTTTTTCTCTTTTAAAAAATCTGATCCAGTGACCGAGAAGATTTAGATTTTGGAGACTGGCCATTACTCCTTGGTGACAATCTCTTTATTTTGGTCTATAGTTGCCCTAACTAATTACATTTTGCCATTTGTGCAGCCATCAAGCTGATAGACGGCTTGAGGGAAGTCTAATTTTTGACCATGGACACTATTAGGCTTTCCGACAAATAGACAGACGCCGAAGGCCACAGGCCAGGGGCGAAGGAGGATTATCAATGATAGTGAGCAATGTCAATGCGCCACCTTTCCACTAAGCTGACCCTCTTTGCCATGCGCATTGACAACTTTTTAATTTGTAAACCGGAAGATAACTTTCTACTCCTCCCACTCAAATGCAAAACCAAAACCCTTATTTGTTTAATTGTTACTTTTAAAGATATGTATGTATGTAATGTTACCCCTGCTCCTTTTACAACCAAACAACCAACTCTCTTCGGTCTCATATATTATCATCGTCTCTCTTGCTAATAACCCCATAGCCCATAGCCTAATAGACCAAAACTCTTCTTGGCCTCTAATTTTTTGAGAGCTAAATATGGGGAAATTGTTGGCTTTGCTTAGACCCAAGTGGAAGGATCTTGCCTGATCGGAGCTGTCAACACTAAGCCCGATCAGAAAGTTTTGCAGGTGGTGAAGATGGATGGAAAGATATTAGAGTTCAGAGCACCAGTTCTTGTTTAAAGATGTCTTGGTGAAGTTCTCAGGCTCGGGTATCGGTTTATCAAAGACGGGTGCACAGCATCTCCCGCTTAACTACGAGTTGAAGATGGGGAAGGTTTACTACATTCTTCCTTCAGTTGATGATCCTGTAGAGCTCCCACTCCTGAAATAATTCTGATTCATCTGTGGCTGACACACAACAAACCGAGTGTCAAGAGAATAAAAGTTGTTATAACAAAGCAAGAGCTTCATCAAATTGTTGACGAAGCAACTATCGGTGGAGGAGGTTCTTGCATGCCTTGAGAAAAGAAATGGTAATTTTGTTGTATCTCCAAGAAATTGGAAGCCAAAGCTCGAATCCATATCGGAAGAAAACGAGCAATTATTAAAAAAGTAACTAGATTTTCAGCTGTTTCGCTAACTCTTTTAACTTCAGCTCAACGTATATGCTAGGTCCTGAAATGAAAAATTATATGAATCGATTAGCCTGAAAATGAAAAGAAAACTGTTGCATAAACAGAGGGTTTATCTATTTTCATTTGCTTTCAGCGCAGCATAACTTTGCGAGTTTGATCTTGTGAAACGAGAATCAACCATGATTTCCTAGTTGTTGGGCTTTGTAAAATCAATTAGCAATAAACAGAATAAATTTAAATATCAAAATTACATGCAATTCCTTAACATATGCGAGATAATATTAT